TGTGGAGTGGGAAGGATTAGGTGGGCACAGATCACAGCCAGAGCCTGAGATGGCAGGAGAGGGTGGGGATTTCCCTGTGTTGGCCCCAGGAGCCTGAGTCTGGCCCCTGCCCGGCCTGGTGTCTCGGAGTGTGAGCGGGCTCTGGAAGGACTGGCCCAGCAGAGAGAAGCTCTCTGCTGGCTGGGTGCTGCAGAGGTGTCTCGCCCCAGGCCCATGGTTTCCTCCCAGTGCCCCCAGCCGCTCAGGTGGCGGTCAGCTAAACATCAGGAATGCGTTCTACTTTTTTTTTTTTAATGAATACTGTCTGGAGGAAGACTGTTCAGAAGAACAGTTGCTGGGGCGATCTGGTTGGGGAGGGAGGAGCTGGCTCCCCCTCACCGCTCCATCTTTGTTCCCCAGCAGGAACACAAAGGAAGTGCAGTGAACAGGATAGCCTGGGAGGGGACCAGAACCGGCCCTCTCCACTGTTCACGTGCTGCGTGGCTGTGGGAAGGCCCCGATTCAGTGGAAATACACATTGAGGGCAAGTCTGCGTGAGTTCTCCTCAGCACCCGGGGGATGTGCAGGGGCTCCCTAGCCCCCTCTCTTAGCTCTCTGTATGCTTTGTGTGGGGTTTGTCTTGTCCTGTCCCTTTAGAGAAGGTCTGAGACCACCCCATACTTCACCCTGTTCAGCTCATGGCTTCTGCTTCCCCTAGGTCAGGGTCGAGGCTGATATTCCACCTGCTGGGAGATCTCTGCAGGGCATGGGCTGGGGAAGAGGGAGGACTCCAAGCTCAGCATCAGGTTTACTGCCACCCATGTCATCTGTGTCCTTTTCTCATGGTAGGGGACCTGAGGCTGACGTAGACTGGGTGACAGGCCCGGACCCTGCTGGTTGTGGAACCAGTTCAAACCAGGCGCTGAGCCCCATCTCAGCTGCTGGAGTGTCAGAGAGATGAATGAGTGGTGGGGTGAGGACCTGCATTGTGTAGGGGCCGGGCCTGGCAGAGGGATCCGCTGGAGGGGCCTGGAGGGAGTACTGCAGGGTGGAAGGGGCAGTGCTGACCTTGCCCAAGGAGCTAGAGGGAAATCATGGCGGCCTGCTGGGAAGTGTCTTGAGCGCCTACTTGGTTGGTGGGGGTGGAGGGACTGCCTGCAGGGTGGAGACAATGGGCACAGAGGCTGCCAGCAGAGAGGGCAGCCTGGGCAAGGGTGCTTCCAGGCATTCCTGGGGCCAGAACCTCATTCCTTGTGGGAAGACTTTGGCGTGACTGGCCGCCCTCCAGGCTGACCACTACTGGCACCTTCCTGGCTGGCCCTCCCCAGGCCTGGCCTGCCACCCATTCCTCATCACTGTGTGCTGGTGATGCTCATGCTGGTCCCAGGGACCCGGGTGCCCTGTCCAGGACTGGAATGGAGGAGACCTGAAACCAGAGCTATTTCTCCCACTTTAGCCCCTGGGGGCTGGTCCCGGGAAGTGGCATTCCCAGAGGTGCAGAAGATCCTGACTACGGAGGGGAGAGCAAGGAGGAGAAGCTGGAAGAGAAGGGCAGATCCCAGGAAGACAGAAACTCTGTCTTTGTGGATCCTTTGTGCATTGGGCAATGTTTGGCAAGGGGATGTGGTGGTTAATGAAGCCAGGTTTCCTTCCTGCTTGTTGCTCTTAAGCTGGGCTTCCTCCTGGGCACCGTTCCTCCTCCCTCCCGCCACTGGCCCGTACCCCAGAGACACCCTTCCCTGGGCCCCCATGCTGACCCCTTTCTCTGGAATTTGAGGTCTCTGGGATGGAATGGTGTGAGAACTTGGGTGGGAGGCAGGGAGCTTTTCCCCTCACCTCCCCACCCCACCCCCAGTCCTTCTCGTTTTCCACCTGTCTCTCCAGGATGATGGGTGAAGGAATGACAGATGCCAAGAGGACCTTGGGATGGGGGCTGGGCTAGTGGTGGTCAGCTGTGTGACTGGGGGTGCATCCTCACATCTGGGGGAGTGGATCAAATGAGGCAGCTTCCATAGTGATCAAAAGCTGCATCTGGTCTGTAGAAGGTCTCATCGTTCCAGGGCTCCCTTCCTGCCAACATCCCAAGAGCAGTCTGTCCCTGGACCTTCATCCTTACTCCTGAGCCGGGAGGGTCAGCAGGTGCTACAGAGGAGACAGCCCCGCCTGTGGGCCTCAAGGAAGACCCAGGGTGAGCTGGGCTTCCTCTGTATCTCACCGTGGCATGACCATAGGCAACCCTCAGTTCACCTGCTCTGGGAATGGGACCCGTGAATCTGTTAACGCACAGAACTGCTGCTAACGTCTGATGAGATGAAGCTGTGGCCAGTTTGGTTTGGTATTGTGTCATTTGAATGCCAAGGATTGTCTTCTTGCTAGGGGCTGGCACAGCCACCTTGCAGGGACACTCTGGGGGGCAGTGGGGAGCTCTCAGGAGAATGGCTTCGGCAGCATTTACTGGCTTCTATGGTGGGAATACAGCCACCACAATGGGTCTCGTTCCCATCCCCCCCCCAAACTCTGAATATTTTGCAGTGTTATGCCACAGACAGGACTAAGAAGGAGGCCGCTATTCAGCCTCCTCTCTGGCTGTGAGTGTGAATCGCGGCAACTCCCCTTCTGCCTTCCACCACCTGTAACAGGCCCCTCCCAGGTTTTGAAGGTGGGAGGAGGCAGTCGCTCTCCCACACCTCCCTGTTGAGCACCAACTCCCAGAAGCCCACAGAGCTCCAGTAGAGTGATGGGGCTTATCTGCTATTGCCATGGTTTGGTTACATGCTCCAAAATTGCGTGTAATTCCTATACATCTGATTTGTGTTGATGTTTGTTAACCAAACTTCCTGGTTAATTGCTGCTTATTATAAACTCTCATTTAATTTTTATTTCATTTTATTTTTAAATAAAATTTATTTATTTTTATTGCAAAGTCAGATATACAGAGACGAAGAGAGACAGAGAGGAAGATCTTTTGTCTGATGATTCACTCCCCAAGTGAGCACAATGGCCGGTGCTGTGCTGATCCAAAGCTGGGAGCCAGGAACTTCCTCTGGGTCTCCCACATGAGTGCAGGAACCCAAGGCTGTCCTTGACTGCTTTCCCAGACCACAAGCAGGGAGCTGGATGGGAAGTGGAGCTGCTGGGATTAGAACCAGTGCCCATATGGGATCCCGGAGCATTCAAGGCGAAGACTTTAGCTGCTAGGCCACTGCACTGGGCTCTCATTTAGCTTTTAAAGAAAATATTTGAGAGACAGAGAGAGGCATGTCCCCAAAGCCCACAGTGGCTGTAAGGCTGGAGCCAAGGGCTGGTGACTCTATCCAGGTCTCCGTTGTGGTCAACTGAACCACTACCTGCTGCTTTCTACACGTATCAGCAGGAAGCTGGATCTGAAGCATCTGTTTCTTGCCCACGCTGTAGCTGCAGGGGAGGGGCTGGTGGCCTTGGGCCTCCCACCTCCATCCCCTCTCTAATTTGTATTCAGAGGTAGATACGTGGTAGTGATATCTCTTTAATTTTTTTTTTTTAATAATCATAAGTAGGCAAGGCCTGGGTACTCATTTTGGCACAGAGGTGCTTGGGCACACCTGAGAGTGAGTCAATTTTGTATTTCTACAGGATTTTTGAAACAGGTTATTGCAATGCTTGATGAAAGCCCCCTTAGCATTGCAATACAGTGTTACCAAACGGGAGATCCTGGACCGATTGCCCCAATGCCAGGTGGTGATGCTCCACCGAATCTCATACCCCACTGTTGTGCCAGGTAAGCAGGACCCTTGAGCAGGCCCCACCCTCAGCCTCTTGGCCTTGGCAGGGTCCAGAGGTCGTGAAGGAGGGGCTTCCAGACCCTCATGTCCCCTCTCTGCTTCCTGGGGGCTAAGTGCCTACTGGCTCCCTCAGGCAATGCTCTTTTGCTCCAAAGGTGTCTGTTAGTAACCAGGAGCCTGAGCAAAGAGGACAGCCACGTACTGGCCAGGCTCAGCTTGGTGAGCCTTAGAGTCCATGCATCTTGCTCCTTCACTTTGTCACCTGGGCCAAGTTCTCACCCTCCCTCATAGGGCTTCTTTGTGCTTCCTGGGATGCTCAGCGTGATCCCCTGCATGCTCAGACCACCCTCCCACATTCCATAGAAGTGAATGTTCAGTTGGTCATGGGTCAAGGATGTATGGAGATGCCTTGGCAAGGTCCTCCATCATGAGCCAGTGTGCATGGCAGGAATGTATTTATAAGATGTAGAAGCAGCATGCTAGCTTTGCATGACAAAGTGGCTTCATCCCAATGTGAAATGCATGGCATTTACTAGGATTATGATATTGATAAAAATTACCAAGGCTAAGGTTTTTGTCTCACCTTCTGTCACTAAAACACAAAAAACCCCAAGCTGTCAGGCAGAGTCCTCATTTGCAAGTGAGAGCGAAGAAGGAGCCAGCCCAGGGTGGGGCCTCAGGTTGTTTCCTGGGGACAGAGGGACCCCATTGACAGCTGCCTCTGACCCCTGTTACCGGGTTGGCTGACCCAGGCTGGTGCTGCGCTGGGCAGCTGAGGCCTTGTGTCTTCCTTAGACTCCCACTCATAGCTGAGCCACCTACCCTACATGGCTCCTAGACACTCTCTGTGCTAAATGAGGATGAGGCTGTGTCACAGGTCAAGGACAGCATAGATGAAGACCCTCTGCTGTGTGTCCCACCCTCTGAAAGGCAGGGGTGCTGTGGGTCAGTGGGTGAGACCTGGCAGAGCAGAGCAGGCTTGCCAGGTGCAGAGCTGACAGGGTTTCCCCTGGGGAGGTAGCGCCCTGGCTGTGCACCAATCCCCCACCTTCTCCTCCTCTCCTCTTCTCCCCTCAGGGCTTTCCAGAGCTTTGAGGAACTAGCTGAGCTGGAGACTAGAGAAGCGTGGAGAGAGAAGGGATGCATATTGGGCAACAGGGCGGGGCAGAGCCCATGACGTCACCGAGCCCTGGATAAAGGGGAGCAGGGCAGGTGCAGGCGGCAGAGCCATCGCTGCCAAGTCACTGCAGGATAGCAGAGATGAGGCTCACCTTTTCCAGCCTGATATTCCTGGGGGTGCTTGGTGAGTGCTGGTGCAGACCCAACCCTGAGCCTGCAGCCTGGGAAGCCACCGTGGCAGTGAACCAACAGGGCTTAGAGAGGGACAGGAACAGGGCTATGGCATGGTCTAGAACTTTCCGAAGTCCAGAAAGGGCTGGGCCAGGGCCTCTTGCTGGTTTAGAGGTCTCCTGGGGCTGGGAGCATCTGAGACAGATGGTGGGAAGTGAACCCTGTAATCTGACAGCTAGAACCAGCTGAAGGTTGGGGTATCCTAGGAGAAGCAGGGAGGGAGGAAGCCTTATATTTCCAGAGGGAATGGTCACAGTCTATGATCCAGCACTCTGATGCGGAGTTGCATCACAGTCTGGTTCATTGGCAGCTGAGTCTTGGGCTCTCTTGGCACCTGTGTTGGTGGGTTGTAGGCCCGGATGCTTTGGGGCTATGGAAAGCCTAGTCCTGTCTCAAGGAAGGGGGGCAGCTGCCCTATAGGATTCCTGCTTTCTGCTCTCTCAGTGGTTGGGGTCCAGGCTGGAAGGGACTTGGGGGTTTCCTGTTCGACCCAATGGTCTGTAAGGAAGGATGGGTGGGGTGTATTTCACCTGTCCCAGTTCCTACCTTGGAGGCCAGTGGAGACCTTGGAGACCTGTGGAAGCAGTGTGCTTCCACAGGAGAGGGTTAGGGCAGCATGCTTTGGCGGGGCTCCAGGCAGGCCTACGTTGATAGCATCTGAGACAGCAGAAGTGGCAGACCCAGCTCTGCTTCAGGAAATAGTCGGCTTTAAACACAGCTGTTGAAAGCCAACTTGACCTTGAACGTTGCATATTTCAGAAAATTCACCTGTTTTGTGTACCATCTAATGATTTTCAGGAAGTTTATCAAGTGGCATAGCCATCACTGCACATCAGTATTGGAGCATTTTCCCCTTATTCTCAGAAAGACTTTTCATGTTCACTTAGAGCTAATTCTCATTCCCACCCAGTGTCAGACAACCATCGCATTGTTCCTGGTGTTAGGGGTTGTAGTGTGTTGATGGATTGGTAACTAGGCAAAATTGACCCATCCTACCTGTGGTCTACAGGTACACAGGGGAACGGAGGTGACTCAGGTACATGAACCCATGTGCTCCCCAGGGACTGGTCCTTGGGGGTAGGGCCTATGGGATTACAGGGAGGGAGGGCAGCCAAGGGCAAGCTTCTAGAAAACTAGCAGAAGGCAAGATGGCCATGACCACAGCTGAGTGATCCCTCTTTGTTCTTCTCCTAGCACTGTGTCTGGCTGTCCCCAGGAAGGGCATTCGATGGTGTACCAAATCCAGGGCAGAGAAAACAAAATGCTCTTTGCTGCAGAAGTACATGAGAAAGCAGGGTGGCCCACGCATCTCCTGTGTCCGGAAGCCTTCTATCCAGCAGTGTGCCCTGGCCATCGCGGTGAGTGGGTGCCACCTGTCGGGTGGAAGAGGAACAGAATGTGCTCCTTGACCTGGGATTCACTGCTGGGGCACCTAGAAGTGGGGAGCAGGTCCTCCCTCCAAGGAATGAGCTGGCCTGGCCTAACCCTGGTTGTTTAGCCATCTAGGGTACTGAACTAGCAGATGGAAACTCTCAAAGTCTACCTTTGTTTCTCTTTCTCTGTGTTTCAAATAAAATGAAAACAAACCAATCCCAGAGTGAGAGAACACACGCTAGCTCGTACAGGCAATAGCTGTGTATACGTTAAAGGACAAATTCAAATTGGCAGGGGGTAGAATCATATAGCAAAAATGCTGTATGCAGAATATTTGTGCCATGGTGTGGATGTTCATTTGGATGTCAAAGGCCCATGTGTTGGAGAGTTGGTCTGCAAAGTCTTCTGTTAATGGGAGCAAGATTAGGAAACGATCCAGCTGTGGTGTTGGAGGCAGGGCTTTTGGAGGGGTTTGGATTGGGTTGGGTTGCTGGAATGAAATCCCTAGGAATAAATCCTGGTGGCTTCAAAGAGACCTTGGAGATACAGAGTCACACCCTTTCAGTACGCTTGCCATTGAAGTTATTAGGGTAGAACTTGCAGGAAAAACCCAACTTCACTGCCTTGGACTTTTCTGGAAGGAACACCTTTTCTAGGGCCCAGCTACTGGGTCCTGCCTGTTCTTGGACTGTGAGCCTGTCAAACTGTAAGCCTTACAACCTCCTCTTTCCTCCCTAAGTAGGTTGTCTCAGATCTGTTGTGGTGGTCACACAACACTGATCAATACGGTCAGAAGAAATCTTTAATGAACATAACCGCACAGTGTTCCCCTTAAACATCAGACCAAAGAAATCTGTTGGCACCTGCCTTTTCTGGGGGAATCACAGTTCACAGAAGGACAGCCTGGGCTGTCACTGGTTCTGCTGTCCTCATGGTTAGTGCCATTTGGAAACAGCGCTCCCAGTCTTCTGGAAATAGAATGACAGCAGCAGCTGGGGCTGTGGCACGAAGCATGTTCTTGGCTTTGGCAATTCCACCCCCTAAGTGCCTTTCCCTAGGCCTTGGGCTAAACCACCCATGAGAGCATGGTTGCCACAGCCCAAAGTCAGAAACAGTCGTTCTGGGGGGATTCTTTGATAAATCAGGAATTAGGCAGCATCCAGCTTATTGTGTACTGTTGGCAAAAGTGTGTTCATTTTTCTGTGAGGAAGGGGTTGCTGAAAATGTACCTCATGCTGCAGGTAAGGGATGTGGAAGCCTCTTTGTTGACTGGCCTCTCCATTTCCAGGGAAACAAGGCAGACGCCATGACCGTGGACAGTGGCTTGCTGTTTCAGTACAGCCAGGACCCTTACAACCTGAAGCCTGTTGCTGCAGAAATCTACGGGACCCCAGAGAGTGAGTCTTCCCTAGGGACCCAGCAGGCAGGTGACCCTGACTTTGGTCCTGAGCCCTGTGGAGCCAGGAGTGGACAAGTGTGTGGGTCAGTGTCCTGTATCAGGGACAGGATGTGCTGGATTTTCTGGGCCAGACAACCTCGTTGCTGTAATTGCTGAGCTGAGAGCAGGGCTGGGGGGCAGGGGCATGTGTCCCCTCACATCAGTGGCTTGGTTGGGTGGAGTTGGGTATCATTCTCCTTCTGGTCCCAGCCAATAGCTTCCGGTTCTCTCCACCCCTCTGTAGAGCCGCAGACTCACTATTATGCTGTGGCCGTGGCCAGGAAGGGTAGCAACTTCCAGCTGAACCAGCTGCGAGGGCTGAAGTCTTGCCACACAGGCTTGGGCAGGACGGCTGGCTGGAACATCCCCATTGGGACACTTCGGTCATTCTTGAACTGGAAGGGGCCGACCAAGCCCCTTGAAGAAGGTGAGCTGGCCAGGGTCTATGGGTGATCTGGTTGGAGCAAAGGTTTCTAGTTGGCAAACGTAGGTGACTGTGTAGGGTGAACCCCAGTGGGAAAGAGGTGAACCAGCTCGAGATGGGTACCCAAGGGACCCACTGCACCTGCAGCCCAGGCCATCTCTGCCTTTTCCTCAACACATGAAGGCTGCCCTGTTGGGGCTGGGAGAGGGCTTCCTGAGCTCTTGGCAAGGGGGCACTGTTAGGCTGGGTGGGAGGGTGTCCAGGGTTGACTCCCCCTGCAGTTCATTTCTCTGTGCTCCACAGCCGTGGCCAAGTTCTTCTCTGGCAGTTGTGTGCCTGGGGCAGATGGAAATAGGTACCCGAGCCTGTGCCAGCTGTGTGTGGGGACAGGGAAGAACAAGTGTGCCTTTTCTTCCCAGGAGCCCTATTTTGGCTACTCTGGTGCCTTCAGGTGAGTGGTCCTGTCCCCTTTACCCAAGGGACCCAAGTGCTACCTGTTCTCAGAGTTATAGATGGAGAAGTTGGAGCCCAAGATGAGGCTTGCCCTGCCCAGCACATGGCTAAGTCCTTCAGACCCTGGTTCCTCCCAGCCTGTACCCTGCCCCCGAGGCTTTGCACCAGGCTGGTGGGCCTTCTGTTTCTCCCAGTGGCCCCTTCTGTCTACCCAGAGAGCCCTGGATTTGACTCTGCTCCCACACTGTTCTGGACTTCTCCTCTAGCTTCTGCCCCTCCCCTAACCACACAGAACTGATGGGGCTTGTTGGGAGAATGTCTAGTCCAGGGCTCTGAGAGGGACAGCTGGTGTCCCCCCATTCCCTCCCAGAGTCAAGTGACCAAGGATCTGGTCTGGCAATGCCCTCTCTCTCCTCTGCCAAAGTCGAGCACCCTTTTCCTACCTGGTCTTGGACACCCTACAGAAGTGAGGCTCCCTAGCTCTGTTGGTTTGGGTACCAGGCCTGGGACTTCCAAGGCTTTCCCTGCTAGGGCAGAGGCATCCAAATGCTCTTTGCAGGGATAAAGTTTTGTTAGCTCAAAGCTGCAAACAGAAGGCAGGAATCTCTAAGCCCCCTCTTCCTTACCTGCCCTTTGGAGTTAGGGGTCGAGGGCCAGTGTCCTCCTGGGCACAAGGTGAGGCAGGGCTACCATGCTCACCTTTTGGGCTTTCTTACTCATAGGTGCCTGAGAGATGGGGCTGGAGATGTGGCTTTTATCCGGCAGAGCACGGTGTTTGGTAAGAGCGTGAGCACTGCCTGCTTCCCCCAGGGTCTCATTCCATCTCAGTTCCCACTGTGGAGCTCGGCACAGTTCCTTGCAGGGCTTAGCCCGCTGCCTCCTGCCCCCCTCATGTTCAGGGTCACCTCCGCTGAGGCACGTTGATGTCGCATGTCCCCTAAGATAGAGATGGACATGGTCTGGCAGGGCAGCTCCATGAGCCTGGGACAGCAGGCTGTGGCAGAGGCATCTGGCCTCAAAAAGCTGGGCCTGTGGTGTGGGTAGCTGTATGGATCCTATGGTTCAGGGCTGTCCTCCACCTCACAGCCAGCCCACAGGCGGTCCTTCTTCACCACCCACAGGTGCCGTTTCATGAACCTCAGTCACCACCTCCTAGGACTCTTGCTCTCATCACCTCTCTGCCTGTGGTCTCACTTCCTTTTGGGTGCTCTGGAACTTTCCTGGTGGTTATTTTTGTCTAGATGGTGGCTTCAAAGTCCTGGGTAGCTTTGTGGTTTCCTTTGCATTCCTCTGACTTCCTGTGGATGGATCAGCTCTGCGCATCTACTTGACTTTGTCTTACTTAATCTGCTGACAGTTTTTTTCTGTGGTTTTGTGCTTGGTTTCTTGGGTGAAGGTACGAGTCTTTCCTTTGATAGAAAACAATTGTTCTAGGCTTCAGGAATGTTCTTTCTCAGTCACGATCCTGAGCCCAGCAGCCTGTGCAGTGCAGCAGTCTCTGCTGCTGATGAGTTCAGATCTATCACTTTTGCCTGATTGATTTAGGTTCTGGGGGGGTCTTCATGTTCACCCCCAAACTACAAGGATTTCCTGTAAGATGAAAGATCCCTCTACTCCCTGCTCACATACCTATCTGTGTCATCCACCTCACAACTGGGTGTGGGTCTGTCTTTCTCACTTTTTCCCTTTCCAGTGAGACACTTTCCCCTGTGGTAGCAACTACACAACTTCCAGATGATGTGTGCAGTCAGGCTAATCAACTTCTGAACTGCTTGTTTTCTGAAACAAGCAAGCAAACAAACAGAAAACCCCACATGTAGATGTTGAGCACCTGTGTGTTTTTCTGCACTTGTTAAGGTTAAGGCAAACTCGTAGTCTTCCTCTTTTATTCCTCTGATGTGGTGGGTTATTTTATTATTATGTTTAACATTCAGTCATTCTTTTGTTAACAGAATAAGCCAATAAGCCTTATTCCTGATTTACCAGTGTTTTAAAATACTGTTAGACAGAGTTAGCTAATACATTACCTGGGAATTTTTATTTTGTTCGTAAGGAAAATTAGTTCCAGGAATCGTCCCTCTTCTTTCTCTAATTTTGACAACAAGGTTGTACTAATGACAGCTTCTTATATTATTTTTTAAAGATTCATTTTTTTTTATTGGAGAGGCAGATTTCTAGCAAGAAGGCAAGACAAAGACCTTTCATCTGCTGGTTCACTCCCCAAATGGCTGCAATGGCTGGAGCTGAGCTGATCTGAGGCCAGCAGCCAGGAGCCTCTTCTGGATCTCCCATGTGGATACAGGGGCCCAAGGACCTTGGCTATTCTCCATTGCTTTTCTAGGCCATAGAAAGGAGCTGGTTTGGAAGTTGAATAGCCAGGACTAGAACCAGTGCTCATAGGGGATGCTGGTGCCATAGGTAGATGATTAGCGTCTATACCACCATGCCAGCCCTGAAATTCTTCTATCAGTATGTATTCTGAACATTTTGAGTAACATGTGGATTAACATTTCCAAGATCTGGTAGAACTTACCCACATGCTCTTTCCCCTTCTTTATAGCTGGTGTGGGAAAGTGACTTGTGCTTTGTACCTTGACATTTCTGTCATTTTTGTTCTTTCTAGAGGTGTGGGTGAGGCAACCTCCTATGGCCATCCCCTGGGTTGCCCTTTGCAAGGTAATCCTTTTCCAAACAGCTGCGTTGGACATGAATTGGGTCCCTTTTACCTCCCAGGCTCACCAGGCTGCAGCTGCACCTGCACCTGAGCCCAAGACAACTCCCTCCGAGGTTACCCCTTGGCAGGCCAGAGCTTCTCTAGGCACTGTCTTTTCTTGTCTGAGCATTCTGAGGGTAAATCATGACCTGCAGTGGCTGATCATGTAGGATGGAAGTCTTTGGGGAGAAGGCCAGCTCTTAGTTATGTCAAGAGTATCTCCTCTGAACTCTCCACCCCTCCCTCCTACTGTCCCCCACAACCAGAGGACCTGCCTGACAAGGCTGCGAGGGATGAGTTTGAGCTGCTCTGCCCAGACAACACCCGGAGGCCAGTGGGCGAGTATGAGCAGTGCCACCTGGCCCGAGTTCCTTCCCACGCTGTTGTGGCCCGGAGCGTGAATGGAAAGGAGGATGACATCTGGAATTTCCTTAACCAGGCACAGGTACCAAGGTCCCCATGCCCTGGCCTCACCTACCTCTTTGACCCGTGAAGTCCCACAGGAAGTCCCATGCCTCAGGGACTGCTGCAGAAGACAAGTGCCCCACGGTCTTAGGGTACCTGGACTCAGGAACTTTGCATAGCCCAAGTCATGGGTGGCAGAGCTTGCGTCTTGGGGTAGGAGTCTACCAAGTTTTTTGTTTAGGATCAAAACAAAGAAGCCCTGCTCACCATTGACCCCATCCTTCTCTTTTCCTCCATCAGGAAAAGTTTGGGCACAACAAGTCGCCAACCTTCAAGCTCTTTGGCTCTCTTAAAGGGCAGAAGGACCTGCTGTTCAAGGACTCTGCCATTGGGTTCTTGAGGGTCCCCAAGAAGATAGATGCTGCACTATACCTTGGCTTCAGCTATGTCACTGCACTCCGGAACATGGGGAAAAGTGAGTGGGTGGCGGGTGGTCCCTAGAGCCAGCCAGTGTGTGGGCTGAGCTGTGGCGAGGCCTTCTGGGCAATGTGGCCTTGTTCTTCGGTGGTTAGCATCATGGGCTTCGTGGAGTTATGTCTTTTGTTGACCAAGTTGGGGCATTTGAGGGATCTCACCCAGCTTGTACCAGCTGGAGATTATTTCTATAGGCACCCATGTGCATTGGGCTCCCCAGTTCTAGCTGAAAAAAATCAAGTTGGCATATAGTAAGTGAAAATAGAGCCTGGGGGACTACCCAGTGGTGCCGGGCCCTGGACCCTGGGGCAATGTCAGCCATGCTCTTCCTTCACTGGGGTCTTTGCTGTGGGTTAGGATTAAGTAGGAGGCTGCCCTGGGGTTTGCGGTGGTGACATTGAGCCTTAGGAGAAGTCAGGCAGGTCTCCTGGTCCCCTGGACTGGATGTTGCTTTCTGTGTCACTGGGCTTTGACCTTGAGACAGTTGCTAGACATGCTGTCCCACTAGGGGTTTATGGGGATGGAGGGCTGGAGACCAGGGAGGGTGTCCTAAGGGATGGAGCCACAAGTCTGGGGAGCTGAGGAGTGGAAGAGAAAGGATCAGATAGGAGCTAGCGCAGCCACGAGGTGGGACCCCTGTGCCAGGCAAGCTCAAGGCCCCCATCCACCTGTGTCATCCCCCTGGACAGCGGAGGCGGCTGTGGCAGCCCGGGAGTCGCTGGTGGTGTGGTGTGCTGTGGGCAACAAGGAGCAACACAAGTGCAACCGGTGGAGCCACCTGAGCAACGGCAATGTGGCCTGTGCCTCGGCACCCACCACGGAGGACTGCATTACCCTCATCCTGGTAGGTGGCAGGGTGTGGGGCAGGGTTGTATGTGTGTGTTGGGGGAGGATGTGTGCTCACCTTGGAAGACCCAAGTCCAGGGCTCGGGATCCCAGAGGTCACGATGGGTGTGGTGAAGTCAGACTGACTCAGGGCGGGGACTTTTTTTTTTAGATTTATTTATTTATTTTTGGAAAGGCAGATATACAGAGAGGATGAGAGGCAGAGAGGAAGATCTTCCATATGATGGTTCACTCCACAAGCAGCTGCAATGGCTGGAGCTGAGCCAATCTAAAGCCAGGAGTCAGGAGCTCTTCTGGGTCTCCCATGTGGGTGCAGGGTCCCAAGGCTTTAGGCCATAATTGACTGCTTTTCCAGGCTTCAAGCAGGGAACTGGATGGGAAGTGGGGCTGCTGGGATTAGAACCAATGCCCATATAGGATCCTGGTGCATGCAAGGTGAGGACTTTAGCTACTGGGCTACCATGCCAGGCCCTGTATGAAGGTTTTGTTTGTTTCCTGTGTGTCCAGGGTTCTGCACACAGTGATGCTGGGTTGTAGCCTTTGAGTCCCTTTTGGTGAGCCATGGGTCATGAACATTATTCCACGTGAATCCCTTTTTGGGAAACATTTATGAGTAAATGATTTCAAGATCTGTGTCTTATGGCTGTGGCTTAGTTGGAGTAGTGACCGTGGTCTGTGTCCCCTGACTTGGCTGTCACCAGGAGCCCCGGGTTGCTGGGTGCTGTGCCGGCAGGGTGAGCTATGAGCGGCCAGCTCTCCCAACTGTTTGTCTCCTCAGTGAGTATCCTGTGTCCTAGGAAATGGAATGTCCTTGGCTTTGTTCAGGGGACAGAGGGTTAATGCAACTAACCCTGGTCTTTCCAGCTGTGTTGATGGAAGATAAAAGGCCCATGGGGCTGAAGGTCCTTGTGGCATCATGGTGTCTCCTTTGGGTGTTGCCTCTCTGGGCCAGCTGATGTGAAGCCAGCTCTCGGCACGCTGCAGCAGCGGGCAGAGCGGGGGAGCAGCCTCACTGTGCATCGGTGTTTTGCTTTGTCTCCTCAGAAAGGGGAAGCTGATGCCATGAGTCTGGACGGAGGGCATATCTACACCGCAGGCAAATGTGGGCTGGTGCCTGTCCTGGCCGAGAATCCAAGTAAGTGGAGTTTGTGACCTATTGGGGTTTGTTTCCACTGGCACTTGGGATGCTGGTAGGGAGCAGTAGCCCCACTCATTGGATCTTGAGGGGAGGACAGGTGCCAAGGGAATTGGGAACAAATCAATAGAAGAGGCCATGTTGCCCATACAGCCTGCTACACTTTGAAGTATTTTAAGAGAATGTCATTTCTGCAAAGACAAGGGTGCACAACTCAGTGATAAGCCGTGTGCCCCGTGCACCTGTGCCCAAATGGAGACACAGCTAAGTTCAGCCACCTTGCTGCCCCACCTTCTCAGAGTGCAGACTCAGCTCCACCTGCTTGTATGTGTATAATGGAAGAGGAGTAGCACAGCATGGATGGTGTTAAGGTTTGGTTTCCCTGGCTCACAAGTCAGCGTGGCACCTCCAGCGAAATTTGCAGCTGGTGACTATCCGGCGCTTTTGTCACAGAGCATCACTTCCAGGGTCTCTGCAGTCCTCCATCTGTGTGACAGTGGATGGGCATTTGCGTCATTTCCAGCCAGTGGCCACTGCGAGCCCTGCTGCTGTGAACATGGTGCCAGGTCTTTGGGTGAACACACAAGGAGGGTACTTCCGGGAGCGTCAAAGGATGGAATTGAGAGTATTTCCCATGAGCTTGCGAAGATACTCTCATCCATTTGTTCCTTTAGCCTGGGTGAGCTGCTTTCAATTGGATTCTGCGGTGTTGAGATTTACAAAGGAGGCTTCTCTCTCAGAGAATGTGAGTGTTTGATGATGTTTTTCTTCGATTTGTTCTTTCAGCATCCCGAGAGCATCACGACACTGACTGTGTGAATAGACTAGCAGACGGTGAGTCTGGGATCCGTCATTTTCAGGATCAAGTTCTTGTTGGAGGTGGCGGGAACATCTACGAAAGCTCAAAGGTGGAGTGGATGCCTAGTGCTCCTCGGGTTATGCACATGCCATGATGCCATGTGGCTGGAGTCCTGGTTCCTCTGCTTCCGGGTCAGCTTCCTGCTGAGGTGTGCCCAGGGAGACAGCAACTGATGGCTCAAGTACTTGGATCCCTGTCACGTACATGGGAGACCCAGATTGGCTTTGGTTTGGTACAGGCTTGGCTGTTGCAGGCATTTTGGAAATCGACTGGTGGATGGAAGATCAATCTCTCTTTTTTTTCTCAAATAAAATGAAGATAAAGATTAGGGGAAAAAAAACACCAAAAGATATGCTCATGTAGAAGCCAGAAATACTTTCAGAGATCTAAATAGTTCACAGAGAAGACTGATGGTGGCTGATGCATCCAGTGGCCTTTGCTTGGCAGAGAACTCTCTGATACTTCCCTGTTGTGGCCAGATCATACGGAAGGAGGGGCATTGCTTGCCTTTCTTTTGTGGTGAGGAAACACTGGACCCAAGGGCCCCCTAGGGCCCAGGATCCCAATTACAGCTGTGCACAGGTTTTGGCAGACCTCGGCTTTGAACCTTGATCTCTTGTGCCAAATCAGATGCTGGGGTGTCCATCAGAAAGATGGAAGTCATGTTCAGCCCTGTTTGGTGCAAGGCAGGGTTGGGCTGGACTCCGGTCAGGATGGTCCTTGGAGATGTGTTCCCTGGTGTCCCCAGCTGCTGGTCTGGTGGCAGTCGCTGCATTTATCCCATGCACAGCACAGCAGCGGTGTCTGCTGCTTCACCAGGCTACGTCTGAAGGCGAGCTGCTACTTTGCAGCTCACACATTTGTGGCTGCTCCTGGTCAGTTTTCCTGCCACCACTAAGGGATCAACTTTTCTGTTATTTTTTCTTATTAATTATTTACTTATTTGAAAGAACTACAGAGGGAGAGGGGCAGACAAGAGAGAGGTCTCGCATCCTGCCAATTCTCTCCCCAGATGGTCACAATGGCTGAAGCCAGGAGCTTCTTCTGGGTCTCCCATGTGGACTTGGACCATTTTTCTGTTGCTTCCTAGGTGTATTAGTAAGAAGCTGGGGAGGAAATGGAGCAGCCAGGACTGGAACCGGCCTTTATTTGGGATGCTGGCGTCCCAGGCAATGGCTTTATTGGCTTTACCATAATGGTGGCCTGCAGGATCAGCTTGTCTTCCTATTTTATGTTATAAATCTGATCAGTGTCATCTGAGTATAAGGGCAACAGGCTAGGACTTCATGGTCTACCCAGCAACAGGCAGGTATCTGAGGCAGTGGTCGCCTGGATTGTAGATAACTGCTGGGTCATGCCTGCTGTGTGTTGAATACTGCTTGTTTGTCATTGGCTGTGCCAGGGTATCCCGCTGTGGCGGTGGTGAGAACATCTGACCCAGAAATCACCTGGAACAATCTGGAAGGCAGAAAGTCGTGCCACACCGCCGTGGGCAGGACAGCAGGCTGGAATATCCCCATGGGCCTGCTCCTCAACCGCACAGGCTCCTGCAAGTTTGGTGAGGCAGGCCGAGGGCGTGGTGGGTGGGGAGGGCTGGGCAGGTGGTTGGGAGTCTATTCTGGTGCAAGGCATGGTGACCCTAGGAGACCCCCGCCCAGCACTGTTGATGCCCACCCATGCCCGCCAAGGCCAGAGACCAGAGCATCAACGGGCTTCTCTGTGTCCTTGAAATGGGTGCAGGGCTTGGGAGGTGCACAGGTATTTTTGAGCTCCTCAGAGGTGGCTTTCTGTGAAAGCACCTGCCTGCCACCTGAAAGATTGACCTGTTTACTAAGCAGAACAAACTCCCTGCTCCACACATGGCAAAGGAACCAGATGAGACCTTCAGGGTCTGCCCTCGGCCCCAACTTAACTGGATCAACACATGATAGGCCCTGCAAGTTGTGGGCCACGTGAAGGGGGGCAGCATATGATCTTAATGCCATCGTTACCTGCTAGAGCAGGGTTGTGCTGCATTGATGCACAAGTTTTGGTCATGGTTAGACTCCACCCATCCCCAGCAGGGCACAGTGTAGCCACTCTTCCCAGTCTTTGGAGCTGTGGAGTGGCTGCCAGGGTGTGGTGGGCTGCTCCTCAGGCTTTCCTGAAGCTGGCAGAATGGGCCTGCTTCAGGGGCAAGGGTGAGGGGAGTCTGCTGAAGGATGACAGGTCCTCCGTGAGGTACCTGTATTCCTTCCTTCTTGGGGACAAATCACACAGTGAGTTAACTCAGCTTAGGAAAAGCTACAAGGAACAGACCCCCTGCCTACCACCAATACAAGAGACATAAATAGTAATGCTGTCATGTGAGTCAATTCCAGAGGGGGGCTGTCCAGATCTGGGGAGGGAATGGCCACACTGCTATCAGTGGAATCCATGATCAAGGGTCACCTCACGGCTCACTTCCCACCTACTGGAGGGCCAGTCCCTGCTTCTGCACTCCGTGTGCAAGACGAGGGAAGGAAGAAGGGGTAAAAGGAGTTAGCTGGCATCTGACACTCCTGGCTGGGACCCAGCCACATGGCTGTACCAGCCCCAGGGCCTCGGAGAGGTCTTGGGTAACCAGGTAGCCTGGGTGTTGGGGATGGGGTGCAGGGAAAAGCAGGATTTCCATTACTGAGGAAAAGTGACAGTTGGCCCCCTGAGTGGGCAGCACAGAGAGCAGGCACAGCCGCCCTGCTCAAGGCTGTGGTGGCAGGATTCCCCTGTGATGCCATGGTTCCCTCTGCTGGGCTTGCTGTTCATGCCTCAGACTGGCAGGTCCTGGGTTGTGCGGGGTGGTCTTACACCTTCTTGGTGACAATGAATGTCCTCCATCTGTCCTGGGCAATGTTGTGAACTGGAACCCAGCTGTGTCCTTGGTGGTGTGCTGGCTGTGGGTTGTAAGACTGGCATCCCACATTTTTTCCCTGCAGATGAAGTCTTCAGTCAGAGCTGTGCCCCTGGTGCTGAACCCGACTCCCTTCTCTGTGCTCTGTGTGTGGGGAATGAGATGAATGAGGACAAGTGCATGCCCAACAACAATGAGAGATACTATGGCTACACTGGGGCTTTCCGGTGAGTCTGTGCCTGGGTGTCCCCGCTGAACTTTGCTTCCTGGGCCTTGCTTCTCAGAGATGCTGCTTAGGAGCCAGGGAAGAGCTTCCCTAGGCTTTTCCTCCCTTCTCCACCAGATGGCGCAGTGCACTTGAAAGTCCCAGGAGCAAATTGTGTGGGACTGGTACAGCGGATTAACCCGATTTACTGGCTTTGGCGTCAGTGATGGGAGGGTATCAGAGTCATTTTGACTATATCCTATGATGCTTTGGGAAAAAAAAAAAAGAGAAAGAATGGGGATTGTACAAAGATTCTTTACGTGATTAAGGGTTTTCAAATGGGAAGACTGTTAAAGGATTCCACTTGTAAGTATGCAATAGTTACATGTCTAAAAAGAAATCAAAGAGACCGTATGGTTCTTTTCTTCCCCCAAACCTCCATTGAGGTGTTATTTTCCTGGTAACACACTCTCATAGCATCCCTGTCATACCAGAAGACAATTTTTTTTTCGTTTTCAAATGGCATCTGTGCTGTGGACATTTGTAACAAGGTAGTTGTGAAGTTTGGGACCGGAAACCTGACATACCTCTCTATTTCTGACATTCTTACACTGCTGGCTCTTCATTTTTGACTTTGAGCTATTTCCTGCTCACCTGCTGCCATGGGCCGTTTACTTCGTTTGTGTCTCTTCCATGTGACCCCACACACTGCAGCATCCAACACAGTGGTCATGCTCATGGTGAACATCATGCTCAGATGACATAGGGCCCATGGCAAGGTCACATTTCCTTTAGGGAAGAGACTTTCCATTTGACTCTGGAGTTCACAGATTTCTTAATCTTAAAAATTTCTGTGCTTCTCAAAATTTACTCATTCGTTTCAAAACTGCTGGCCAGTAGAGTAGCAGCCTGCACGCACACAGACACATATGGAATGTCACCTGTTTTCTTCACTGACTGGCAATGTCAAGTTTGTAAAGACTTGGGCTTACCGGAGGTCCTAGGCCACCTGCCATGTGTGATCATGGCCACCCTCCTGGGATTCCCTTTGTCTTCCTTCACGTTAAAAACCTGTTTCCCAGCCCCATACTTTTAGCTTTCTTGATTTTGTCAGAAGAGAGCACAGTTCTAGTTGTGTCTTCATGAAAAGGAGTGAGTGGGAGTTGCTGTCCCTTGGGTTTTGAGTTGGAAAAACATCCTTATCCCCTCTCTCGGCCATGATTCACAGCTCGGCTGAGTGACCCAGTCTGTGCTGGAGAACATTCTCCCTGGGATTTCAACAGAGTTCTTAGCGTGAGAGATGGAGACACTTTGTGCTGAAAACACGGACCTGTTCTCACAAACTTGACCCCAAGAGGTTCCAGGCATTCTCAGGCAAGAGTGAACCAGATGTGCCTTCCAACCATGGACTACCCCCGAGAAACTGAAAGCACTGTTTCTTTTCTTTCTAAGATTTTGTTATTTTAAATTATTTTATGATACAGTTCCATAGGCTCTGGGATTTTCCTCCCTACCCCCGCCCAAGTCCCCTCTTCCCCCACAGATTTCCCCCATATTATTACAGTAATGTAGTCCTCTATAAACAGTCCTAAGCCTGTCATTCTGCTCTTTAAGTTTATCCTGACTTTGTAAGTGTGGACAGTGGCAGAGAGCCCAGCATCCTGTTGTTAAAATATATTTAACAGTTTCATTGGGAGTCCATCTTTGATTTGGAAGTAGAGATGCATATTGCATTGTATCTTCACATTTGGATATAATAATCCCTATTACACAGTTACCATACATCCTGTTAAATGAAAAGCCATAAAACAAAATCAACAATAGGAAGAAAAGTAGGATTTTGATAACAATAGGTAAACAACATGCTACTAATTGACCAATGTGTTGCTGAAGAAATGAAAAAAATTAAAAAACCTCCTTGAAGCAAATGGTGCTGTGTGACCTATGTCAGTGGAGAAATAAGAAAAAAAAATTTTTTTGAAGAAATGAAAGTAAAAGCAAAAATATCAAAAGTCATGAGATGTAGCAAAAAACAGTTGAAAAGGCTATTGATCTTTTATTTTGTGTGAAGGTTGCCTTATATCAGAGACAAAATATGATATTTGTTCCTTGGGGATTGACTTATTTCACTGAGTGTAATGGTTTCTAGTTGGAACCATTTGGTTGCAAATGGTAGAATTTCATTCTTTTAAACTGCTGAGTAGTATTCCATGAAGTAGACATACCATACTTTCTTTATCCACACTTTTGTGAGCATCTGGGTTGTTTCCATGTCTTTGCTATTGTAGAGTGTGCGGCTGTAAATATAGGATCACAGATCCCCTTCTCACATGCAGTTTTCATTTCCTTTGGGTATATTCCTAGGAGTGGGATAGCTGGGTTATATGGCAGGTTTATTTGCAGTTCTCTAAGCATTCTCCATACTGACTTCCATAGTGTTGTACTAGCCTACACTCCCACCGACAGTGAAAGAGGGTACCTTTCTTCCCACATCCATGCCAGCAGGTGGTGTTAGTGGAATTCTGAATGTAGGCCAATCTCACTGGAGTTAGGTAGAATCCCAATGTGGTTTTCATGTGTACTTCCACGACAGCTAGGGAACCTGAGCAATCCAAACCAGGAACCAAGAGTTTTTTTTTTCCGGTCTCCTACGTGGGTGCAGGGACCCAGGAACTTGGGCCATTTTCTACTGCTTTCCCAGACACATAGCAGGAAGCTGGATTGGAAGTGGAGCACCCAGAACTTGAACCGACATCCTCATGGGATGCCAGCACTGCAGGTGGAGGCTTAGTCTGATATGCCACAGTGCTAGCCCCCTCTTTATGTTATGTTAAACCCAAAACTTCTGGAAGAATTTATTTTTTACTTTTATATGTTTGCCTGATAGTTTTTGCATTGTCTATTACAAGTATTAAAACTTCTTTGATGTGTTTATTTTCTGGGATGTTCTAGGTGCCTAGCCGAGGACACTGGAGATGTTGCATTCATCAAACCAAGCACAGTTTTGCAGAATACCAACGGTAGGTGCAGGACTCTGCCTGCTTCCTTCGAAGTGGTGTCCTGGGCATTATAGCATGTCATAGTGTCCCAACTTGCAGCTGGAAGATAGCATAACCCTTTTCTAGACATTTGTTTAAAAGAATTCCAAAATTCTTTAGATCAAACTACATGGAAACGTCTGGAGATTTCACTTGAGTTTTGGAACTGAATATTGTCTGTCTAAATATTTTCTCTCTGTCTCTCATATGGGTTTTGGAACTGAACTCTCTCTCATTCACACACACACACACACACACACACGACTCATTGGCTTAGTCTAGTCAACTTCAGAAACACACTCTTAGCTGGCACCAGCATATGCAGAAGAGATAGAGGCTTCGTTGGGTGCACAGATCACTGGTCAGGAAACTCCTTGGGAGTTAGTGACGACAGAATGACAGGCAGGTGCAGGTGACAGCAGATGGTCTACCAGCCAGACTCTGAACTTTCACTTTCCCTGAGGAGAAAAAAAACCCGATTCTTGATTCCTCAGTCACTTGCTGCACAAGAGATTGATAAAAGATTGATGAAGGCATTTGGGGGGGACAGTGGGAGGCTGATCCCACAACCCCCCGAAAGATGCCTATGCTGAGCAGGGCTCTTGGCGCTGAACCCACCATCTCTCTCCTCCAGGAAACAGCAGAGAATCCTGGGCCAGGGGGCTGAGGCTAGAGGATTTTGAGCTGCTATGCCTTGATGGCAGCCGGAAGCCTGTGACAGAAGCTAAGAGCTGCCACCTGGCTGTGGCTCCCAATCATGCTGTGGTGTCTCGGAAGGACAAGGTGGAGCGCCTGGAGCAGGTGCTGCTGCAGCAGCAGGTAGAGGCTGGCAGGGCCTGGAGCTGGGCACGTGAGTGTGAATAGAAGGAAAGTCTGACCCATCCTTCAACTCTGGGATTCATGGCTATAACTTCTGTCTTCCTGTGGACACACCCTGCCCCTTGGTGGCCCGGATGTAGTAGACCCCGGGGCCATCGCTGGCCCTGCTGAGATCCGCCTTCATCACTGCATTTGGGATCCAAGCTAACCATGGTGGGGGTTCCTGAACATAGAGGAAGAGACATGACTCAGGGGGCCTGAGTGACCAGCCTGGGGCTGCTTCCTGGTTAGTTGCAGAAACTAGCTGTTCTCATGTGGAGAAGGCTGGTCTAGGGGAATGTTGTAGGTGGTCCATGTTAGAGGCAGATCTCAAAACTCCTCACTATCATCAAGTCACCTGCAAGAAGGTTGATGGTGAGAGGCCTCGGTCTTGGAGGCGAGACTAGAGGGGGTGTGCTCGCTTGCTCTCCTGCTCTCCTTGGCTGGGCTCTGATCATCTGCTCTTTTCCACACAGGCTGAGTTTGGGAAAAATGGAAGTAAGTGCCTAAGAGAGTTCTGTTTGTTCAAGTCCGATGTCCCAAACCTTCTATTTAATGACAACACGGAGTGTCTGGCCAGGCTGCCGGGCAAACCAACATATGAGCAATATTTGGGATCCCAGTACGTGGCGGCCATTGGTCATCTGCAGCAGTGCTCGACCTCCCGTAAGTGGACCCTAGGGGAAGGCCAAGGTTGTCAGGGTCACACAGCATGCTAGGAAGTAAGACAGGCACTCAAATGTCCAGGCACTGCAGTCTCTCTCTACTCTAGGAAGTTACAAGCTTAAGGACAAAGTGAAGGAATGAAAAAAAGAATGAAATAAAAACAGTGTTGATTTGCTAACAGGAACATCAGCCCTGAAAACCGGTGACCCATTTCACTGGGAGGAGTGCAGCAGCAGGCGTATTCGCAACTGCATGGAGAAATGACAACATCTGGCTTTGAGATAGAGAGGATGCAAGTTTTCAAGGCATTTCTGATTTATTTAATCCTTAGAGGCATTTTGGTGATCCTCAGAGCAGGGCAATGGTGAAGAATCTCCAGTTCCAGTATGCACACCGGGCTGTTACCCTTCAGGTTCCCATTTCTGGCTCCTCACCCACACAGCCACAGGCCCCGGGGGCTGCTGTGGGTCCAGGGTTGGCCACATAGCTCCTGAGGAGACAGCTGGTGATGTCTGGAAGTATTTCTGATTTGCATAGCTTAGCAGGTGCTTCCAGCATCTCTGAGGTTGAACCAGGGATGCTACTAAACAATGCAGAGGACAGCCCACCACCACCCCAGGAGGAATTAGTACCAGGCCCCAGATAGCAAGAGATCAGTCTCTGAATTTCCTTTTCTCTTGTGTTCCACAGCACTTCTGGAAGCTTGCGCTTTCCTTGGGAAGTAAAAGCCTGGAGGAAGACAGCCTAGCCTCACTCAGGAAGCCTCAGCCCTTCCCAGCGCTCTGTCCCGCCCCCGCCCCCAATATCATCATCCCGGGGGGCTCCTGTCCTCCCTTTGCTTAAGTTGGGTTTGGCCAGCCCATCAGCTTCCATAGTTCCCTGCATCATCTTAGCCGGGAATAAAACAAGGAGTGCTTGTGAAACATCACTTGTCATGTCTAGACTCATGCATCTTGCCCAATTCCTGCACAGAGGCCAGTCGCCAGGCTCCTGGGGGCTTCTGGCTGTGACCTAACGAGTCCTTGGTGCCTTCTGGCCATTGACCCATGCAGTCTGTTGTATTTGCTGACAGCAGTCTGAGTGGACTGAGAGGCCAGCTGTCTGTCTTTGTCTTTCTGCAGATAGTATCCATGGCAGCTTGACCGCAATGGGGAAATTTCCATTTATACCAAACAAGTCAAAGAAAAGCTTAATGAACATCTCTATATATTCTCCATCTAGATTTGCTGATGTTTATTACTTTGGCATAATTTCCTGCCTTTGGGTATACAGTGTGTGTGTGTGTGTGTGTGTGTGTGTGTGAGAGAGAGAGAGAGAGAGAGAGAGAGAGATATCTGACTATTTGTGCCACCACGAGGTTTGCTGTGGACTATGTGTTTGAGTGCCCCTCAACCTGAAAACCTGACCTTTAAACTGAAGGTATCTGGAGATGGTGTCTTTGGGAGATAACTAAGAGGGCTGGTATGATGGCTCAATTTTTTAAAATTTTATTTTTGATAGTGTTTACATAGTTGAGTAGGATAGGAGTGGTTGAGGATTAGGGGAAAGTGGGTGAGACCATTATTTTCGCATTTTCTTTTTCTTCTGCCTGTATCTGGGGGAAGGAGGGAGAACAGGGGAAAAGCCACACTCAGCCTCCCAGCCATCGCAGCACCCGGGAATGGGGAATGGCCACCCGATGTCATTCCAGGGTGCCCGATGTGAAGCATGTTCTGAGGGTTCTATTCAAGTGGCTTTGTTAGTTCTGACATGCCGTTGATCTCACAAATCCAAGGATGAAGAAATCTTTCCAAGGTCCATCAGCTGACACAGTCCACCTCCATTCACCCAGATATTTGCTGGCAAGCTTTGCTGGGGTAGCTAACCAATTTATTCTGGATAGCCCAATTTTTAATCTTCTGCCTGCAAGTGCTGGCATCTCATGTGGGTGCTGGTTTGTGTCCCGGATGCTCTGCTCCCCATCTTGCTCCTGCTTATGCCCTGGGGAGGTAACTGAGTCATGAGGGTAGGGGACTGCAGATGGGGTTAGTGGCCTTCTAAGAAGACAGGTGGGAGAGAGCTGGCTTCTTGGTTTGCTCTTGTCTCTCAGACGAGGGTGAGGATGCAGGAACAGATGGCAGTCAGGCCAGGAAATGGCCTTCCCCAAACACTGCATCCTCTGATGGCTGCATTCTGGACTTTCCAGCCCCTAGAACTGTGAGAAATGATCACTGCCTAAGCCGTCCATGCTGTAACATGTTGATTACAGCCATCTGAACAGAGGTGGGGTTTCAGCATTGAGTTCTTCAGTAGGCATTCCCTTAGAGTAAGGACATGCTCACACCTCACTGTAATTCTGTTAGATTTGGCCATGATCTCTCCATATCCTTTGATATCCTGTTTATACTCACATTTTCCCAATTGTCCTTAGATTGTCTTCAGGGGGTTAGGAAACATAAACAAAAAGGGCCCCAGAAGACCCATTCCTCTTCCATTCTCTCCCCAACTTTCTCCAAGAAGCCTCTCTCTTGACTGCTAACATCATTGACTAGCTTGCTTGCTTTTGCAGTCAATCTGTGGGAGTGGGATTACAGACTCTAGATTCTTCCATATCATGTTGGTGAGGGGCTCGCCTCCTGGTGATACAAAAATAGAGGTTCAGGTTCATTTTTTCCCCTCGTAGAGATAGCCAACACTTCCAATACCTTTTAATGAGACCATCATCCTTTTTCTACTCATTTTAAAAATATGGTTTATTCTGATCTAATTTCTACAAAGCTTGACAAGTTGCAGGGTTGGTGAACTCATGGAGCTGGGAATGTAACTGTGGACCAAGCTGACTGAAGGAGCACCAGGAAGCAGCTGATGAATGTGAGCCTGTGCCCACCTGGCAGTCCAACCATCTTGCTCTATGGAGCACCCCTCCAGCTGGTCTCCAGGTATGAGCCTTTCGGGGGACCTGTGTGGGTGCCCACTGTTTCTGTAATGAACACTCTATTTTCCCTCCCCTTCTCTCAGGAGCAGAGTTTCCCAGATGGTGTTTTGCATTTGATAGTACAACAGGTTGGATACAGAAAACAAGTCAACTTCTTTCATTGAGCAGAATTTGCAAAAATGGGAAACAATACTGCTGTGACTGACTTTTTCAAATATAGATTTTTGGGCCCGGCGCGGTGGCGCAATGGTTAAGGTCCTCGCCTTGCATGCCCGGGATCCCATATGGGCGCCAATTCTATCCCGGCGGCCCTGCTTCCCTTCCAGCTCCCTGCCTGTGGCCTGGGAAAGCAGTCGAGGACAGCCCAAAGTTTTGGGACCCTGCACCCATGTGGGAGACCCGGAAGAGGCTCCTGGCTTCGGATCGGCATAGCATCGGCCGTTGCGCTCACTTGGGGAGTGAATCATTGGACGGAAGAACTTCCTCTCTGTCTCTCCTCTCTGTATATCTGCCTTTCCAATAAAAAAAAAATAAAAAATAAATCTTTAAAATATAGATTTTTTTGCATGAAGTATTGATGTTAATATGTAATGGTTGGGTTTGTTATTGGATATAAAAGGATGTAAGGATATAAACATTTTTTTGTGTTTGTACTTCTCATGTTAGTAGTTGACAGATAACCCTACATCCACAAAAGTTCTTTGGTCTTCTCAATTTTTAAGTTTGTAAAAGGCTTCATTAAAGATTTACTTTTATTTGAAAAGCAGAGCTACAGAGAGAGGTTCACTTCCCAAATGACCTCAGCATCAGGGCTGGGTCAAGCTGAAGCTTGGAACTCCATCTGGGTCTCCCATGTGAGTGGCAGGGGCTTAAACATTTAGGCCATCTCCTTCTGTTCTCCCAGGCACATTAACAGGGTGTTGTATAGAAAGTGGAGGAGTTGGGACTTGAACTGACACTTATATAGGAGGTTGGCATCCCAGGTGGAAATGTAACATGCTGTGCCACAATGCCAGCTCTGAGTAGGATGCTGATAGCCAAAACATTTGTGAACCATTGCCCATGAGAAATTCTACACGGCTGCACAAGGAGATACGTGTAAGAACGGTCAGCTGATCTTTACTAGGCACCGGGAGTGATGGCCATTTTCATGCCTGCCATTAAGAGAGGAGGGAAATGAATGGAGTCTGTTTTCATGGTGGAAACAGAAGCAGTCACAGCTGGGTCTGTACAGATCAAAATGAGCCAGTGCTGAAGGGCTGACATGGCGGGACTGTTTGCATGATTTTGAAAAGCCTGGTAAACAGCACTCTATTGTGTTTGTGCATATGTGTGGTTAAAAACAAAACAACTTCCTCTGTGGCTCGGAGTGAGCCAGTCTGTAAGATACTGTAAGATTTTTAAAAAAAATTTTGTCCAGAGCACAGTCTGAGATTGAGACTGTTCTGTTCTTGGTTTCTGGCCTGCTCAACTAAAACCAATCAGCTTCTTCTGGTTTTTGCTAACAGGATCAGAGAAAAGGCACCTTTTGACTACATGCCAGGTGCAAGGGGCATGTCGCTCGGCCCCAGCCATGAAACCACACCTGAGATCACAGCTGCACTGATGTGTTTTCTTGGTGAAGCTTCCAACTCTTCACCGTTGTCCTCCAAGATGCACTTGTCTTTTGCACAAACCAGTGAGGTAAGCTGTGGGGGAATCCCCATCCTTCCTCTTTCATGTTCCTCCAGATGCTCAGTGTTGTTTTTCTTTTGTATTTCGGTAGGTGATGCTGTAATAATGGCTTGTCCTTGACCCTCACTCTACTGGGCCTGAGAATCCATGTGGGGATTCTCCTGATAGCTGAGGTTTTCCGTTCCAAGTGTGTATGAAGAAAGGGGGGAGACAACGTAGGTTGGGTGCTGTGTGAGTAAACGTTTCGGCACCTGGATCCTTGCTTCACTGGGCTTAAGTCAGGAGTCAGGAGACGATCATTTGAGTCACTGTTGAGCTATGACAATCTGCCAGGGCTCTTTTTTTTTTTTTTTAACCACAGGAAACAGGGTCATCAGAGCTTTGAAGTCTAATCAGATCAGGGAACCAATTCCGGAAACCCAGAACCAATTCAGAAAGCTTATCCTGAAGGACGCTTTTCTCTACAGTCGCTTTCTGTGCTGCCTACTGTGTCACTCAGAGTTCAGACTAGTAGACCCAATTGGGAGGTGCACTAAGGTTTGGCCTTTGGGACTCGGCCTGACACAAGTGTGTCATGTAGCTCAGAGGGTGTTGCCTTCAGGCCTGATTTGGAACTTGAACTTCAGGGAGGACAGCTGGGAAGGGATGATGGGCGACAGGGGAAAAGAACGAAGATGCATAGGGGTTCTGCAGAATAAGCTGGAGCCCATGAGGACAGCCTGAAATTGAGTTCTGGCTGCTCTGCCTTGCTGATGAATGTGTGTGGCCTGCAAAAGTCATGGTCTCATCCCAGAGCTAAACCTCTCTGCACTGGGACCAGCAGCTGAAGGCGCTGAAGGACATGGCAGTGTTTGCAGGCCTGATACATCCCGGGAGACGATAAGTGACAATGTGTGTCAGTTTCTCCTGGAGTGCAGCCCACCCAGACACCAGTGAGAGAGACAGTTCTGAGAACTGTAGTCCAGCCTGGCTAGGTTGATACATCACAGAGCTGCCCCCGTCCACTGCAAGGAGCTTATCCTCAAAAGCAACTCCTCAGAAGTATAAGGTCTTTCTTTACTGAAAAAGTCATAATATAGAGGCTAGTGTTTGTGGTCTAGTGGGTTGCATGCTATCTGCAACACTGGCATCCCATTTGAGTACCAGTTCAAGCCCCACCTGCTTCCTTTCTGATCCAGCTCCTGCTAACACAGCTGG